AAAGGAAAATATTATCAGAATCTTAAGGTGTAGTAATAATAGTTTATTTAAGTCGCACTAGTGCTATGTGCAGCTATGGTGTGCAGTGCGGGCTATTTTATTTTTTATATCGGTCGTTGTACAGCCGACCCAATATTGGGTATACGCCTACTAATTTTAAACCCATTCCAGAAGACAAGGGAACTCCTTAATTAAGTACTAGAAGAAATTTGCCTTCGTGGAGGATTTTTTGATGAAACTAACCCACATTTGCGTTACATGGAGAGGAAAACCTCCCACGGTTAGTCCGATGGCAAGCGGACTCTAACTCCTGATCCGTCTGCCACTGAGGATATTTTACGTCAGCACTGTGGTCGGTGCAAGCCGGGTGCGGAATTCGTATCAACCAGCCATCGCTAGGAATCGAAACTGTTTCACCACAATTTTGATATTTTACAAAGGCGTTGGCTTTCCCGCTTTGGTAGCCAGATTATCTGCGTGCGAAGTTGATCACTTTTCGGTAGAACTGTTTAGCAAAAAATAATACAGCGCAGCCTCGGTCCTTTTTTATGCTGATAAAAATGATCACCTACCCACTCATAGATAATCTTAAGGAAATAAGTAGAGGTCCAGATGGTAGATACTTTATTTACTTCACACTAGAGCTGCACAATGGGCTGTTGGCGACGGTCTGGGAAGCATCCCCGATGATATGAAGACACGCCATTACAATTTTGATCCTCTGCAGAAAGGATGGCTCCTTATCTCTTTGGTAGCCTGACGACCTGCGCGCGAAGTCGAGCACTATAGTGTAGAACAGTTCAACAAAGATAAATACTGCGTGCCCTCGGTCTCAACACAGGTTGATCGAAGTGGGCACCCATCCGCTTTCTGACCGTAGCCAGTAATGCTTGACTTAGGTGTTCTCCTGGGAACCGACTTACGTGTTCTACTGACGTCATCGTCTTTACACGAAGACGATCAGTCCATAGCGGGACAGGAGTCTAGATAGCGAAAATTGTTATTTTAAATACTATTTGGTTTTTGAGATATTGAAAAGAATCATGGTCCCGCAGTGGAATGATCGTTAAGACACGGTTCCCAGCAGATCACCGAAGTCAAGCATCACTGGCTACGGTCAGTGTGCGGGTGGGTGACTACTTGGATCAGTCTGCGTAGGGACCGAGGGTGTGCGGTATTGGACCTCGTTAAACTGTGCTACCGTAAAGTGCTCGACTTCGCGCGCAGGTCGTCGGGCTACCGAAGCGGGGGTGCCATCCCTTCCGCAGAGGATCAAAATTGTGATGGCATGTCTTCGGATCATCCTCCGGGATGTTTCCCAGACCGTCGCCAATAGCCCATTGTGCAGCTCTAGTGCGACGTAAAGTAACAACAACAACAAAAGAATCATGCTTAAGAACTGTGGTAAAATTTAAGCTTTTGTTAAAGTGTTACAAAAGCTTGAATTTGTATCTGTTAAAGTTCGAAAGCTGTTAACATCCACCTTACCTAACTAATCTGCAGATTAATTAAAGTACGTTAAAGTGCGGAATCAAGCGTTTTTCTCAATTCACCAAGGTAAAGAGCGCATTAACCTTTTCCGAACCATTAGAGAGTAAGTTTCTCTGATTTTATCAACTAATTTAGTGATTGCGTTAATTTGACTTGAATCTTCAAATATTGAAAAAAAAAATTATGACATTATGTGTTAACTTTCTTAGTTGAAATAATATTTTAAACTATTCGATTCCTTGCATTAGAGTTTTTAAAGTGATTCACGCTTCATTTTATCGACTAATGAGTGTTGATTGTGCAACTTTAAGTAACTTTTCATTTTTAGATAGTAGAAAGTAAATAAAAAATATTTTGTTAATTTCGCGCAGAAGCATCTCTGTTGTTCCAGCAAAGATTTTATTTTCACTTTAACAAGTGTCTAGTAGGTAACGTGTAAATTACCTAGATAATTTGAGAAATGTAAAAAAAATTTGCTATTTTAACGAATTACCCTGGTGAAACTGCACATCAGCTAATCTGAATACAAAAACTGATATATAGACGGCAAAAGCATATATCAATAAGTAATAGGTAAAGATTCTCGTAGACAAAGATTTCCTTTTCATCGTGATGGAATTTTTTATTGTTTCCGCAACTTCAAAAAACATACGAGTTATACACATTGGTATGAGCTTTAGTTTTTGCTTTATTGTTTTAAGACTTTTCCAGGTTTTCTTTGAGACATGCATAATTTTAAATGCATTCGTTTAACTTAATACCATAATTCAATTTCTAAACAAACGTAACTGAACATTTTTTTTGTTGTTTTTTTTTGAAGAGATTTTTAGTGACAAAATGAAAATTTCATCCCCATGTATATTATTCACTCAGTTACCGTAACTACTTAAATTAAAATGCAACAAACAACGAAATTTTGGGTAAAAATTTAAGAAATAAAAATTAAAACTTCTTTGCAAGATCTTTTTAATAATTAACAATAAGTTAAAAATACTAAGGAAACAAAATATATTTTTAAAGAGAAGAAAAAAATATTAATAAAGATAAAATGTTTTTTAAAAATACTTAAAAAGCCGAAAAACATAAGAAAAAGATATATAATATCGATTTCAGCTCAAACGATTACATCAGCAAAAAAAAAAAAGAGTGCTTTCTAATATTATATAAATATAGCCAAAACAAAATATATCAATACAATAGTCTCTTTATTGTGTTTATATACATATATTACTTTATTAAAATTTCGTAGCTCACAGACTTTTATTAATACTACTGGTATTTTGTTAAAATTTCAAAATGATGGAATAAAATTTTCCCTTATCGGTTTTAGACGTCCACTGTCTCTTCAATGTTTTCAGAAACGTCACGAGGACAATATTTTCCTGGTTTTTTGACTGGATAAATTTAAAATATACAGTCCTTACCTGTGAATAGAGGGTTATAACCCAGTCATGACGGTTTTGATTTAGGTGATATTGAGGCTCTTAGGCGTTAATTTTTACTGTTCGATTTATGCTTTCCTTTTACCTATTTACATTGTTATATATTTTTCGAATGATATGAGTGTAAGCATTTTGCAATTCTATTTCCCCCCAATACAGCACAGTTGATGGTGACAAAAGAGGCTCATAATAATTTTAAAGAGTAAAACATTGTTTCAGTTCAATATTTTTAAGCAAACTGTTCATATAAATTTTTTTTTTTGTTTTAATTATGTTCATTAATTTATACAGGCTCCACGATAATTTAGAGCTATATTTTAGTTTTGATATTGCTTAGAATACAAAAAAAAAAGTATTTTTAAATGAAAAAGCAAAAACGATTCACAGAAATCAGCATACTACTTATATTGAATGACTCTGTTCTTGGAATCAAACAAATTTTTTATTTTTATACTGGAATATTATCCTCTCTTATTATAATTTTTGGGTTCAAGGGCATTAATTTTTATTACACATAATAATCCCCTCCCCAACAATTTCTCTGGTTTTTACACATTTTAAGAGTTTATGATAAAATGAAGAATATATAAATATTGTGTCTTCAAACTGATTTTTAAAATAATGTAAAAAAAATTTTTTTTTAAATTTTATAACTAATTTCTTTCAAATATAAAAGTTAGACACAAAACATTCAATAAACAAGTGAAGTAATCTGAAAGAAACTGCAAAAATAATTCTGGGTATAGGTGAGCTGGTTAAGTATTGTGCACTAAGTTTATAGTATTTAACTTAGAAAAAATTTACAATAAATATTTTTTCCCCAATGTTACAATCCTGCAAGAAAATAAATAATTTTCAATTTTCGCAATAATCAGTTACTTGATAAGCATGTCAAATTTATTATTATTAACTGAAAAGTAAATTTTCTTTTATTCAATAAATTATGTTTAACATGTAATTTTAAATAAACAAATTCTTCCTCTTGGACTTTTTTTCTTTAATTTTCTTAGATGAATTTTTTATACAGTGGTAGAAACTTGATAGTCTGTTTAATCTAATATGCAAAAACACTGACATTTTCAAGCTTGCGGGTATTTTTCTTTTTTAAAAGTAATTTTTTCTTAATAATGGTATAATAACTAATAAATTTTTTTTAGTTATATTAAACTGTTATCATACAGTGTTACATCACAACCAAATATGGATCAGAGGAAAAATTATGTATTATTCATGTACAGAGAAAACAATAAAAAAAAATTTTAATTTTATTTTGTGTAATATATTTTTTGAAATAAATTACTTTAAACGTGGTTAAAATGAATTGTAAATAATAACACTTGAAATTATGAACAGTAATATGAGTTTATGAAGGTATGGATAATTCTAAAAAAAAAAAAGAAGAAAAGAAAAAACATCTTCTATAATTATTTACAAGTACAGTTTAATTTAATGAAATTCTTTAAGCAAGTGATTAAATAAGCAAAAATAATCTGTGTCACATATATGTTTAATTTTGTAAAATAAATAATTAAAAATTCATTGATAAAAATAAATTATTTAAAATCTGATTAAAATGTAATAGTAGAAAATATGCAATTTTTATTCAAAAGGAATAAATGTACAAAATTTTTTAAAAAATAACAATAATACTGAAAAAAAGTGGGGGAGTTTTTCTAAAAATTTGAAGTTTTTTACCACTCTAATACAAACATTAACCCTGTAAAAAACTTTTTGGAAAAAAATTATGATTAAAAATTGAAAATCAACCCAGTGGAAAGTCAGTGAGTCAAAAACAAACTGTTGTCTTTTACCTTTATAAACACACTTTTGAAGATGTGGAACAAACTATGGTCATTGTGTTTAAATTCATTAAAAGAAATACTGTAACAGAACGAATTTAGAATTGCCACCACGCCATCTTGTGTCGAGAGCAGTAAAGAATTAACTACAGCAACCGAAGGGAGAGCATCTCTTAAATAATATCTCTGTGTTAGTGTTTTGTGAGTTTCGTCGTTAATTTGTAACTGTTTCTGTGCTCTGCTATTGAATATAAATAAATAATTCAGGAACTAGCCAAGTGTTTTTATTTCTTGGAAAATGGTTATAATACCAAAAAACATAAAACTTCTAATAGTTTATATTAATACATTATTCAATAATAAAAAATAAAAAAACTGTACAGGTTTTATTGGAAATGCATTTTGTTTTCATTAGTGAAACAAAAACACATTATTATTTTATAAAAAGTCTTTCAGTAGATGATTATGACATAAATGCTGATTTTAAACCTTATGATAAATAGTCAAAAAATCATTAGTTACAATACAATATGAGTTAAATATATCTAAAAGCAAACATAAAAATACAGTTAAAAAAGATAACATATGATAAATGGGTACACATTCTTTAGGGCAATTAATATAATTATTTCACACGCTTCTGTGCAGTTCCAATATTACACTGATTCACCTGCAAGAGAATTAAAAAAAATTATTTTAGTCATAATTTGATGCCAAAATATTGTCAATCAATACCAATATTGACAGCAAATTTATACTAACCATAACAATAAACATATTAGTGTAGAAAAACGAAAAAGTTGTGTAGAAGTTTTGCTTAGAATTCAGACTTTGGAGGACGAAAATGTGCTTACTTAATTTGTTATGATAATGAGTATGAAAAATGATAAAACATCTGCAAGAGTTGTTGTATATGATTATGGCTAGGGCCCTATAAATTATGCGAAGATGCGGAAACCCGCATAATTCACAATTATCCGCATAATTTACAATTTTCTGCGTAATCGTAGCATATCTGTATAATTTTTATTTTTCAGCAAAATGTATTTGTTTACCAGATAAATTTCTCCTTAAGGTTTTTTTTTCCAATTGAAATATATCTTCTTTTTCAGTTCCAAGAATCTTTTTGGTCAGGTGGTCCGATCTTTCCAAGAATCCCCCTCCCCCCGGCACATAGCTTCTTATCAGTCGCCATCATCTTCAGTTTACATAGAATTTTTTAGCAGTGAAATAAACCTTACTCCTGACACTGCTTGTCTCAATCAGTGCAAAGTTTTGGTGGAAAGCAAGTATGTTTGCAAAGACTTTCAGTTCATCGCAGAACATGCTCAGATATTATGGGATACTCTTCTCTTTTTCGAAACATGTGGTGCATCTATTCACAAAGCTTACAATAAGATTTTTGATCTGCGGTCTAAACTTCGATGTAATTCTCAGGCATCATACTCACGAAAAGATTCACGCAACGTCTTTCTTCAAGAAGTGTTTCACAAAACAATTGCAAAGTTGAATACTTACTACTCTCCAGAACTAGACGTATTCAAAAAACGAGGGCCCAAGTTTAGTCAACCTGCATTAAACTTCATGAAAGCTGCCAGAGTTTTCAATTCAGAACAAATAGTCAACCTCAATATTGAAGACGACGATGTATTCAAGAATATTCCAGGAATGAGTGGTCAAGATATAAAACTCGAGTATGCTGCTTATAAAGAACATGTAAAAGAATCTTCAAACCAGGACTTAATTAGATTCTGGAATTCAGAGGTAGTCTCAGAGAGATTTCCAGAACTTACAAAAAAAGCAAAACAAGTGCTCTCAGTGCTTCCTAATTCAGTAGATTGTGAAAGAGCTGTATCCTGATATGGCCAAATTTTTACAAAACAAAGACAAAGTTTGATAGAAAACGCAGCTTCTGGACTAACTCCTCTCCATTTTAATAAACTTCAATAATTGTTCTGATGTAGAAAATGGATGTACAATACATAAGAAGGTAATTTAGTTGAAATCTTTACTGTATTCATTGAAATTTTTTTTTTTATTAAAACAGGAAAGAAAGTTGAACTTTTTTAAGAGATTTTTTTTTCAGTTTCAATTGTTTTTCAGATCATTCGCAACCTGCATGCATAATTTTTAAAAGACACTGCATCCTTGCCGCATAATTTTTAAAAATTTTCCGCATAATTTATAGGGCCCTAATTATGGCCTTTTAACCTATATATTTAAAATCCTTGTCAAAAAATTAAGAAAATAATACATAAATCTGATGTCCTAAATTAATATTTAAGAAAAAACAAAAACTACAGCAAAATCTGACAAATCATTGATTGATTCGGAAATTTGGAAGAAAACCGCCATAACATCTGACGGCTCTATGAAATTTGGATGCATTTCTAATAATAAGCCCCCTCTATTAGCATCCCTCATCAATCAAACTGGTATTGATGTTTTCGGACAAGTCAGCCTCAAGAGTTTACAGATTTCAATTTTACCTTTTTTTTAAAATTAAAATATTAATTTGAAACATCTAATGCACATACTATTTTTTTACTTAGTTTTTGACAAAAATTTTAACACAGTGAAACCTTGGTTAAACGGGCACTCTTGGGATCGACAAAATTGTCCGCTTACGAGAAGGGTACACTTGTAATGAAGTTTAATGCTGTAAACTGCTTTAAGAATAATTGCAAGGATATAGAAAAAAAGTTAAACAAGCTACAATAAAGAAGTTGCCAACTCTTCCGGTATTCCTGGAAGATTTCATTTTCATATTTAAAGTGCCAGCGAAATTCATGTTATTTCACTAAACTTTTTGAATTATAATAATAATTTTAAATCAGTTTGACCACCACTACATATGAATAATTTCAACAAATATACAAAAGCATATTATTCCTTACGATAGTGAATTTCAACTTGAATATAAATATATTTTTGAGGAAGATATTTTTTCGGTAATTGTTTTACTACCACTTGGAAAATCCATTCTCGAAAAGAGCGAATGTTGGCAGGTATGCAATAATCATTTACAATGATATTTATTTAGACTTTAAAAAATTTTTTTTTCAATACAAAACAAAAATAATAATAATATTAAATAAATGACAACATTTGATTTCCTAGTTACACAGACATTCAAGTGAGCAGTCATATGATACCGAATAGACGCTGTTAGTCCTACGTCACTTCCTCAAATCATTTGACAATTAGGTTCACTCCCCATTACTTGATAGGAAATGTGGTAATACCTCCTTGAAAGTAAACCTCTACTATGCACAGAAAAAAAAAGAAAGCAACAAAGCATACTTGTTGCTTTTTTTTTCTTCTGTGCTTGAGGCTCTGTGTGAGGCTTGTCATACTCACAATTGATCATCTGTCAAATGTCTAAATAAACGTTTCATTCATATGAACACCTCAGTGATTAGATTCCTGTTCTCCTTTTTAGCACAATTGTGTTAAATATAGTCTCCAAATTGATAATATTTTGAAAGGAATTTTCAGTGAGGAAGAGAATTTGAGAGCATTTAAGACCATCATATCAATCTGTGGGGTCTCATAACCAGTATCATTCAAATCAGTGGTTTCCAACTGGCGGCCCGCGAACTAAAATATATTAGTTGTCATTTTTTTGCGGACAATTTTCGTAAAAAAATCTATATGGGTTTAAAATACTTTTCTCGTTAATAAAAACGTAATTTCTTTGTTTCTGTTAACTTTATCGTACCATACCATATCAACAGTATCATACCAAAAAAAATTTTTTCTCGGGTTTTGCACCCAAGAAAATATTTATTCAAATACGAAAATAATCGTAATATGTTGTTCTTTTTTTTTTTTTTTTTTNTTTTTTTTTTTTTTTTTTTTTTTTTTTTTTTTTTTTTTTTTTTTTTTTTTTTTTTTTGTATTTCGTGAATATAATTTAGCAAGTGCGTATCAGAAAATTTTTCAAAGAAATTCTCCGATTTAACCTTTTGAAACCACTCATTTTGGACGCAAATATTTACACACACATTTGTAAATTTTAAATGTAAATACCTATTCTCTGGTGGTTGCAGCAGACAAACCTCAATCTTGTCATTGAACATTTTGTGTGCTACTATGCAAGTTTTAATACCAACCTTTTTAAAGTTTCATATCTTAACAATTAGATATCTGTTGCACATTAATTGTTTAATACATGGAGGCACATTAAAGTTATTCTAGCCCGAATTTTTTAATATGCAATTAAAATTTTTTAAAAAACTACTTCCTATTTTAATTTGTAATTCAATACTTTTGTTTTGCACAACTTGGTAAAAACCTGGCAGTAATATTTAATGTTCCTTCAAACATAAAAGAGTCCTACATAAAATTTTGATAAAGCTGCGACCCGCTATTTGATTTGTGTTTTTAATTGTGGTCCCCGGCCTTATGTAACTTGGAAGCCCCTGATTCAGATGAAAAGATGCGACCATCAGTAATATGTCATATGAGCAGTATCATTTTCTCTCCTTTCTTCGCAAAGATAAAAGGTGAAAGGAGACTGATTGATTTTTTAGAAGTGAAATGGCTTAATATTTTTAGTTCTGGATAAGATTAAAAAAAATGGCGGCTCAATTTTTTCCTTAGAATTTAAAGCAGATTTTTTTTTTTTTTTAAATTTAGAATAAATGCTGTCCAATTTGTAGATAGAAAATAAGGTTTCAGGGCATAAATGACTGTTTGGTTACAGGAGTGTCTGCTTTGCGGAGAAGGTACACGATGGTTTATTTTTAGAAGATTCACAGGGAATGAAAAATAGGCCCGTAATTAGAGGCACCCACTTTGTAGGAGTGTTCGTAATGGGGAGGTTTCACTGCAAATATATTATCTGTGCTACGTTACAGATCATCTTTTAAACACAGAGTGAAGAAATTTTAATAAATAACATACCTTAGTGGCAAATCTAAGTGAGTTGATTGTTTCATTTAGATTTTCCTTATCAGGACTAATATTTACAAACATAAGAGTTTTACTATTTCCACCAAGAGAGTTGGCGAGCAGATGAGTTAACTTACTGTCTCTGTATGGTATATGATTATCCTGTAAAATAAACAATTAATTTTTAAATAAATTTTATTAGAAAATCAATAATCTAAATTTTTTAAATAAAAAACTTCATGTAATACAGTATGTATGTATAATACAGTATGTATGTATATATCTTGTACACACTAAAATTTTATCAACAGTGAACAGAAAGAAAAGAATACACTGAATCATTTAAATACTTTGAGTATGATACTTAAAAACATTAATGAATTACAGAATTTAAAAAATGATAAAAAAGTCTTATTTGAAAATTTAAAATATATTTATATATATATATACAGTGAATTCGCGATAACTCAAATCTGATAGGACTGACGAAAAACTTCGACATATCGGAAGTTCGACTTACCGTTAGTTTCGGTTTTGAACTTTCAATGCTTATTAATCATTTTTCTGACAAGCCATTTACGATAAGACTGTTTGAAGCACTTTATGATACCCTGGTGCATCGGCTGCAACTTTGCTGTTGTGTTTGGCAGGAGAAACTGCAAGTTTACAGCTTTCAAATTAGGTTGATCACTATGTGCTGTGCATTTATCCATAAAGAGTATCACTTTTCTTTTTTTAGCGAATAATTTCAGATCCAATTTTCTTACATAGTCTTCAAATAAAACTGATGTCATCCAAAACTTTTTGTTAGACTTGTAATCCAAAGGATACGTTTTTACATTCTTGAAACATCGGGGATTTCGCTTTTTTTCCGATAACAAAGGGCAATTTCTCTGTCCCAGACGCATTTCCTCCAACTAGGACAGTCAAACGTTCTTTGCTCATTTTACCCCCTGAGCAGTTTTCTTCCTTAAACATCATAGTCTTATTTGGAAGACATTTAAAAAATAAACTTATTTCATCAAAATTGAAAACATCATTTTAACTGTATCCTTGAAGTAAATTTGGTAACGTTTCACTTAACCACTGTTCACATACTTCAAGAGGGACAGCTTTATCTTCTCCATGAAGAGTGCGAAAGACATTGTGTGTGTGTTGCAAAGGAAGGGGCAAGATATCATCTCCTATGTTTTTTTTCTGGCTTTAAAAGATAAAAAAAAAATCGAGTTAAAGGGAGTAAAATTCGAGTAATCAAGAATAATTAACATGAAATTGAAGATAAAAGGGTCGGGACCTCATAAAAAAATCGAGTTATAGTAATATTCGAGTTATCGTACTTCGAGTTATAGCGAATTGACTGTATATATATATATAACTTATATATATTATACACATGCATGATAAATATGAAAAAGGTTTAGAGAATTTATTAAGTAACAAAATGTTCAAAATCATTAAGTTTAAAAACAAAAGCTTTTGATCAGAGTACTTTGCTTTTGTATTATATCATACTACATATAATTTTTTAAATGTATACATAAATCAATATTTTTTACTTTTTTGATCTGTAAATTTTAATTTTAAATTACAGTTCTTATTTGATTTTCAATTAAACTTTTCCTTTTCTTTTTTTTCAGTGCCACAAAAAACTTTTCAAACACTTGACGAAGCTGATCTGAATACGAACTCATCGATCAAAAACCGGGTGAACAGCTAACAGGGAGGAAAACCCAGTCTTTCATAATATGCTTTAACCACTTGAAACATCACTTTCAGGGGTGCCACTGAAAAAAATTTCAAGACTGAATTTATTTTCTGACCAAATCTAGCGTTGTTTACCAATCTTTTAGAAATTTATAGCTCACTGACACCAAAATTTAACCTTTCCTTGATAATAGCCTAGATATTAAATCAATCATTTGATTATTTTTTCTCTTTATTTCATATTTTTTTTAGCAAACAAAACGAAAATAACAGCTAACCCTATATATTTTTTACAACTATTACTGAACAACCTAAAACCATTCTTATTTCTATTTTACACTTCACCGTTACTTATTTTTTGTTCTAGCACTATAATTTCTTTCTTTTTTTTTAAAAAAAAAACAATCTTTTGTTTTAACTTTGGCCAGCATGACAATAAGTTAGGGTGGGGGACGCAAACTCGAGCAGATTTAGATTCAGCAATAGCACAAATTTAATTACACAAGCAGATGAAGTTCAATTAATCCCATTTGTTAAGACTTTAAGAATAAGATTTAGTGAAGCTGACAAAAAGAAGATAAATAAAAGTCCTGACATCATTACCATATCATATGTTTTCATTGAAATATATTTTTTTATTTTGACCAAAAAATTTTTTAAATTTCTAATGAAAAAAAAAAAAATAATTAATTTGTTAGTTTCTCAAGACTGAATTCAGTCCCCAGGACTGAAGAGTGGCACCCATGATCACTTTAACCACAGAGCTCCATTCAAAACGTACTTTGCTAATAGATACAATTTTAGTTAAAGGTTTAAGTAAAGCTCGGTTAAGGACAAGATTATTTAACTAAGTACTCACCTTCCTGGATAATGACATTATTACTTTACCGAGAACCGATAAAGATTTGTTAATAGCCTTTGCTTCAGTTAATCTTTCTCCTTCAGAGCCTGAGTCTTTAACTCTTTCACTTCCTGCTAGGTCAACCAGATTCAAAATGCCTAAAAAAATATTAATCAGAAAGTTAGAAAAAAGCACAATCTGCAAAAAATAATAATAATAAATAACTTTATGTTGTGAAAACAAAATTGATGGATGTGTGGTCAACAAAAAGGCACATTTTTCAAAAATGAATTGTTAAGAATAGCAACAAAAAAAATTTCTTTTGTAATGAGAAAGATAAATTGACTGGTGGTCACCCTACAGAGGTTTGCTTTATAAACATAAAGAGAAAAGATTCTATGAAGGAAATGAAATGATGCTTGTGATCATTTTTTCTGAGATTCCTAAAAGAAACAACATAGTTTTTAATTTTGTTTTTTTTCTTCAAATATAATTTAGTTAATACTCATACATTAATGTTATTATTATTTCATTTTTCAAAATTTCCTAAAAAATTGCTGCAATAACGGAAGATGTAATCTTTAACTCATTCTAAATAAAGGCAGGGGTGATTGTGACATGAAATAAAAAACCCTGAAAACTTTATATGCCAAAACTCAATCAATTCACACATAATAAGTGAAATACATACAGTTTTAAAGACATAATTGGAACTGCATGTTAAAATTAATTAATAAAATTTATTAAATAATAATTAGAAATTAAGCTTTTGTTTTCAATGTATTTCTAAATAGCTACATGTTTACAATCCCCTTGACACAACTACATTTCAATTGTAACAAAAATATGCATATAATTTTGAAACATTTATAAAACTGTTCATAAATTTCATTAAATGGATCAATTATATTGCGCAATCAAACAGACAGATAATTTAAATTTTAAAATTAATTTAAAGTAAAAATTAAATATTTTATTCAAAAGAAAAAAGAAAAACATCAAATTTCTAAATTAATATCTATCTCTTAAAGAAAGATGAAAGTTTTGTTTGTTTAGTCTTAGACAAATATTCTTTCTGAGAGTCAAGAGACAATTTTCTTTTTCTGCCTTCTTTTTGAGAATCACAGTGCTTTTTACTTTGAACTGGAGAAGATTTAGCAGTGCAGAAAGGTGGAGAATCCACATGGCTCTCAGATACATGAATAGTAGCGTTAGGGACATGAGTAGCTTTAGGGACAGTTTTTGCAAGAGACTGCTGGTAATTTGACCAACTGTAGATCAAATTATGAGCAAATTCGCAGTTTATTGGTTCATGTGCAGGATCTTTAGAGCCAAAAACCTCACAAGTACTGGCATTAAGAGAGGAAAGATAATATTTTGTTGTTTGAATAGAATCTATGGATTCAATATTAAGAGAAGTTCTATTTTCAGACATGATGTCACCCATCAAATTAAAGGTACTCTCAACTGATGGTCCGTGAAAACATGTTAAAAGAGCTTTAATCATCTTTGAAAGAATAGGATATTTTTTTACATTGCCTTCTTTAAGTTCAATCACTTTTGACCAATACTCCATCATAGACTTGCTTTCAAAAAAAGCCAAAGAATCATCAGTCTGATACTGCCTTAGTTCCAAGTCCAGCTTAAGTAGTTCTTGCTTTGAAATAACATTTGGCAAAAATTCTGCCAGCTTCATCAGTGCCAGAAAAGTTGTAGTTTCTCCCCTCAGAACAGGATTGAGAGCAGATAATTTAATTAACAAATGATTGCTCAACGGTAACTTCTGCATATAAGATGCGCAGTTAGAGAAACTTTTTTTCAACACCTTTAAGAAGTCCTGAATAGTAGAATCTGTTTTCTTACTGGTATCTGCAGCATTCATTCCAGAGAAAATGAGTCTGTCAGGCAAATAATTTTTAGAATCTGTGGGGTCGATTTTTAAGACATCCTGATAACATTTAATGTTGCACAAAAGCTCATGCTTTAAAAAAAAGGCAAAGAACTGCTTAGTCAGATTAAACATTTGAACATGTAGTTCATGTAAAAGGCATTCATTTGATTGAAATAATTTAACATATTTGTTAAAATGGGGCAAAACAGCTTGATAAACACCAATTTGTAATAATGTCTTTCTCTGCTCAACAAAAAGTCTTTGAATAATTCTTTTTTTCCTATTTCTTCCATTATCACTGAGATGCTTCTTTTCGAGTTGTCCTTGAATATTTTTAAGACTTATAATTTCTTCATTAGAAAGTTGTCTTTTAGAAAAAACTTCCTTAATATCATTTTCATACAATTTTTTGTCCAATCCAACCACAAAAAATAAAATATTAAAAGAGCATCCCATAAATATTGTAGATGTTCAAGCACTTGAAGCATATAGAGCCATCTGTGGTCAGGTCTATTTAAGGGTTTCAGTAAATTCATCTGAAGAACTGAACAAACTTGGAAAAATAATTCCCTTTTATCAGCACTCTTAAGATCAAAATATATGTTGTCACATAAAACTTCCAAATGCTTCAAAAATGGCCCTGTAAATTGTTTTGAGCAATTGTTTGCAATATGGCATGTTTCTCCATCTATGTCCAACAAATGTGGAGCATTGATGGATCTAATTTTAGCTTCAACACCATTTTCCCCCCACGCATTCTATTGCAGGAATCCATTAATACACTTATTAAATTTGAAAATGGCACTCCATTTTCCCTGAAAATTGAAACAATAGTATTATAAATGCACTCTGCATTACAAGCAGGCAATTTAATTGAAGCTAAATGTTGCAAAATCACTTTAAGCTGGTCCTCAGCAAAGTATCTAACGAGTACAGCTAAAATACTCTCAGAGGCTCTATTAGTGCTTTCATCAATGTTGAGAGAAAAAAAGAATTCTTTAAAACTTTATACTGATTTTCTTTAATTGTTTTTGCAAGTCCATATTTTAGCTTATATGATGCTGTTGTTCTACTAATGTCTAATGAATTTAAGGCCATGGTTTCACGTGATAACGTTTTAGTTAACTCCACAATTTGTGGAGCTAAAGAAAATGGAATTGAATGTTCAGCCAAAAATGATAGAACAAGAGTTTCAGCCCTAGATTTTTGAGTGACCAAATCGACAGTACGTGATTCATCAGTATGAGTTAGATTTTCTGATCCAGGATAAAGGGAATTTAAAATCTGGGAATTTTTAACACACTGACGACATTTTTTATGTACAACTGTTCCAGAATTATTCATCACGGATTTAAACCCTTCATTGTGATATTTGATTGATGTATTGCACGCAATACAGAAACATGTACCTGGTGTATCAATCTTGCGGCAACACACGTTGATTTCTTCTTCTAAGATGTCTTTTTTAATTAACCATTCAAGACGTAACTTATTCCTGCAGTCTTTTTCTAGATCGCTAATGTCATCTTTTTCTGTTAAGAACTTCATGCTTACATAAAAAATGCGATTAACGAAATTACTTTAAAAATGCATGCCGAATATTTAACACAAAACGTGCACAAGGAAAGTCTTTCGGCAGTGAAAATTCTAACACATGCTGACAAGTAGTGCAGCGTGCAACTAAAATCTACAACCCTACACCTACAGCCTCTGCTTTTAATTCCAAAAAATTCGCCAAGCAGTAAATATTTTCTTTTCCCAATCCCTCCCCGCAACAGCGCATTCTCCTTTCCCCCAATCCACCCTCGCAACAGCGTCATGTCTTTCCCAACACAAGCAAAAGGAGAAGAAACGAATTCTTCCCTCTCTCACACTCTTCACCCCCTTCCACTACTGCTCCTAGCCTCGGACCAGCGTAGTACGAATCCTTGCCTGAGGGTTGCTACAAAAGAGCGTTTATCGCTATTTTGCGAACTTTCTATTCAATTTGTGATTTTTTGACAAAACTGAAAGGTGAAGCTCCCGATTTTATACCCGGAACGATAATACGAAAAACCCGGAATTCCAGGGTACCCACGGACCACAATCACCTCTGTAAAGGAAACGAAGAAAATAAAAATATGACCACTGAAGCCGACGTCTTCAGGGGGTACAGGCCCGGTAGCCATAAAACAAAACCATGCTACCGGGCCAGTACCCCCTGAAGACGTCGGCTTCGGTGGTCATATTTTTATTTCCTTCGTTTCCTTTATTGCTACTTTTTTTGAAATTTCTGCTGCTTTTTAGCGTGTTTTTTTCAAAGAAGTTTTATCTATTTAGAATTAAAAATATTTGTGTTTTCTTTTAGTAACTCATTATAAACACACAATTGTTGCATCCTTAATGTTAGCAATTTGATGGATTATTTATTGGGAATGTGAATATTTGTTGTTATAACAGACTTTTCACAATAAACCCCTCATTACATCCAACTTTTAATATTACATTAAAAAATGATTAATGAAAATACTGTATAAATGCGAAAAATAATCCAATTAAGGTAAAATTAAAAAATCACTGTAGGTTACATCAAATGCAATACATACCTTCACAGCTTTCACTTGTAATAGAATTTTCACCAACAATTTTCAGTTGAAACACATAATGTGATCTTGAGGAGTGTTCATTACATTTAGTGGAAAATACAACTCTACTTTTACGAGCTTTTTTCAGTAAAATAAATACCTGAGAGAATAAAATAAACAGTTTTTAACAAAGAGAAGTAAAAGGAGAAAAGGAATATTCACTAAATGATTATATCATATTTGAGATTTTCGTTTTAATCAAAACATGCTTAAAACAAGTTCAAGGAATTATTAAAAAAAAAATTTAATTAATGGCGTAGGTAAGTAGTTATGAACAGTAAAAAGTTTTAATATTTTTTCACAGAAAAAAGATTTCATGAAAAAAATATTTGTGAAATTACTGATTATTTTAGGAATATTATATTTATAATACATCTATACTGATACACAATTACATACTTCTTATTGCATATAATTTGCTTTACTTCGTCTTTTAACACAAACTGTTAAAATTTTTATTTCACTAAGTAATAATTAGGGTTTGTACAAAAACTGCCTTTATTGTGAATCTAGAAAGCGAAATTATTTTTACTTGTGGCTTGAAAGCGAAAATATTTTTAACTTATTGTTACCTCCCCAAAAAAACTATCTACCCCAACTATAATTAATTTACATATATTTGTCAAGATATTAACAAAAGTAAGTATCTTCGAGCATAAATATATTTTTTTAAAGAATATGAATAACTAGGTAAATATGTAGAATTCAAAAAATTTTCAGCAAGTTTTCTTGGTACAGCGCATTTATTGTGAATCTATTGTGAACTGCATTTATTGTGAATCTAGAAAGCGAAATTATTTTTACTTGTAGCTTGAAAGTAAAAATATTTTTAACTTATTGTTACTTCTCCAAAAAAAGCTGTCTACCCCTACTATAATTGATTTGCATATCTTTGTCAAGATATTAACAAATGTAAGTATCTTTGAACATAAATATAATTTTTTTAAAGAATTCACAGCATGAATAACTAGGTAAAGATGTAGAATTCAAAACATTTTCTGCAAGTTTTCTTGGTACAGTGAAACTTGCTAAGTTGACTACTTGTAGTACAACACATTAGTGGTCATACATATTATATATTAACAATCAAAATAAAGATAAATGTAATTAGATTTATTAAATATGAAATGCCTAGGCATTACACATAATGCTGAATGTTCTTAGGCTAAGTATGAAATATGAGAATTATTCATACTTTATGTATAACGTCTAGGCATTGTATATAAGGTCTAAGCATTCTAAAGAATAACAAATTCTATGTCAAAAAAATAATTAAAGTACCATTAAAAAAATATATTTAAAATACGTAAAGAAAAATGAAAGTTGTACAAAACAAAATTTATGCCTTATAAAGGGAAATAAAATTTTCATATAAAAAATAAAATTCAATATTTTGAATTCAATATTTGATATTTTGAATTGCACTTTATTTCAAATTGGAAATGTATTTCATACACTGACGACTAGTTTTAAGTACTATATATAGTGCCTAACATTTTTTTAGAAATCCAGATTTCAAACTTTAAGGATAACACATACGTTAGTTCATAAGTTAAGCTAAGCATATTTTTACAATGGACACATGTGTAAAAATATGCTTAACTTTTGGACACCATTGACAGAATGGAAAACAATTTGTTACATAAATTTAATAAACTAATTAGTTCTTTAAAAATAAATAAATATGAATATTTAGTTAGTAATGATACACACAAGTGCTTTGTCAGTTTTTATAATTAATAATCTCTTAAAATATTAGTGCTAAAAGGACATATATGCAATATGAAAACTTGAACAGACTGAAAGTTATTTTGCTACATGTATTTACAAATAGTTTTAATTCCTAAATAGTTTTATATAGGGTCAACTTACAAAAGGCTTTAACTAAGCATTTTAACAATTCATGGAAATTCTAAAATATGACAGAATAGCATAGAAAATTTCCAATGTGGCTTACAGTAACTTAAATATCAGGATTTAAGTTATGACATGGATTTCAATATAATCAGCAAAATGTTTTCCTTATAAATTCAAGACTGATGATGTGATGTTTCCCAATATATTTAGTTGTCTAACATTATGTATTTAAAGTTAATAAAAGTTACTAAAATGATGCTTTGATTTTAATTGCTGAGCAAATAACCAAGCTTGCCATATATATATATATATATATATA